CAAAAATATGAGGCAGTTCTATAAATCCATTATTTCTAAAAGAAAGCGAATATCTTAAACCACAAGCTAACTGCCATTAGCTCAATGGGGAATAAGTAACAATAAACGAACCGTGGGCCGGGCGGGTGCAAGTCCCAGTGGCCGCCGGATTAAATAATTGGGAATAATACTGTTTAGGATACAATGGCGGCTATGTGAACCACAGCTGGCTGCGGTCGTAGTAATGCATTTATGCCCTTTTTTACTGTTAATCCTTCTATCCTGGTTCCGAAGTCACCCACACGTTCAGACACTGAAGCAGTTCTTAGCAGGCACAGCAGAGCGCAGTTCTCTCGTTGTCTCAGTCTTCTCTTTCCTTCTCTCGACTCTCAGGCAGGGCGCAGTACTCTGCCTCGAGAGGCGCCAAAACAAACTGCGCCGATGCCGAGCTCTAAAAGCGCTGACGAGTCCCTTATGGTGTGGCATCAGCCAGTGCTGTTTGCTATTGGATCGGAGACTGAGATAGGGTCGGGATCGAGGGACGAACGGAGAGACAGTGAGAGGGAAAGGAAGAGAAGAAGAGGTAGTGAGATGGGGGAACAGCGAGACGGAGAGACAGATACAGAGAAGAAGTGAGACAGTAAGCACATAAGCCAATAAACAGGGGCGTAAAGCTAGATCAAGCTAAAAAGATCTGTAGACAAGGAGAAGCTGAGCTACAAAGGGAGAAGACACCGAGACAATAAGAAAGACACTAGAACAGTGAGACAACGGAGAGTACGACGGAGTTAGAAGAGACAACATCGGTTATTCAAACGCAAAGGCAGTGGAAAGCAGACGGCTGGTGTGGTCGCACAGAGCGGTGACATGATTGGTGCAGGTGGCACGCCGTTCGCGACAGCGCACACTTGTTCGTTTATCGCTCAAACTGCGTGAGGGGACCAGCTGGATGGTTTTAGGACCAGCTGGCTCGCATAGTCATCTGCCCACTACAACAGCGCAGCATTGAGCTCAGGCAAAATAAACATAGTAGACCTGCTTAGGCCAATAAACTGCCATCATTGAACATTGCCGTTAGATTGAGCCCAACATAGCTCTGTCTCTCCCTCACTCACTCTCTCTCTCTCTCTCTCTCTCTCTCTCTCTCTCTCTCTCTCTCTCTCTCTCTCTCTCTCTCTCTCTCTCTCTCTCTCTCTCTCTCTCTCTCTCTCTCTCTCTCTCTCTCTCTCTCTCTCTTTCTCTCTCTCTCTCTCTCTCTCTCTCTCTCTCTCTCTCTCTCTCTTTCTCCCTCTCTCTCCCCCTCTCTTTTTCTTCGTGTATATCAGCAGTCAGTACCGAGACTGATCCACAGCATCTCCCACCCCCTCTCCTCTCTCTTCCTCCCACTCTACCCCATAGACAGCGGTCAGAGTCATCGATTGAAGTGTCAGCGACGCTCCTCTGGACCGCTGCCCCGGCGCGCGGGATCTTTCGCAATGCTCCCGGTGGCTGCGGGTCCGGGTCAGTTACTAGACTGATGTGGCACAGCTGACCTCTGGAAAAGGTCAGCTAGTGAGCAAATGAAGAGGTCACCGTACAATATACGGGCAGCATAAGGCTCGCTGTGGTATAACGCCAGGACATTTTTTTCTTTTTACAATTCGAGATTCTGGCTACTTTCTTCAGGTATAATCAAGGAATTGCAAACGCTGTTATGACTAACCGATCCCCCATATCCCCTTCCCCCCCCCCCCCTAGTCTCTGATCATAGAACTTTACCATTGGGCCAGATACCATATAACAATCCAATACAAAACAATTCATCCAATACAAAATACCAGAGCATGACCATCACCGCATCCCGCAGCCTCGCACAATCCTGACCAATTGTGTGTGAGACCGCGTTCCCAGGGAGGAAGTAACGGTCATTTAGGGGAAGACCGTGCCCCATTAACCCGCGCCCCGTAGGGGGGGGGCCGAAACGGCCCCCCCTGTCCTTTTCGGTCGATATCTCCTAAACGGCTGGAGATATCGCCACCAAACTTTCAGGACCCCTCCGGGCATCAATTTTACACATTGTGACCAAAAATTTTTCCAGAGGCTATGATAGGTTGGCCACAAATGACGTCAGAGTGACGTCATGTTCTGTCATTTTCGACCGAAAAAAGACCTTCGCGAGAAGACCTGTCAGGACTACAGCTTTGAAGATACAGAAAAATGATCAAGACATAAAAGGTGTAGAATTGACAGGGCTACAAAACTGCTATCTCGAATTTTTGAAATTTTTGAGTTTTGACCCCCAAAAATCAAAAAAGCATTTTTTTGGATATATTCGCCAAAAATCCAAAAAGTTTTTTGAGTTTCGAAAAAACCGGAATATATGTGATAGTGCCTACCGTCTTCTATCTACATACCACATTTCAGATCGATACCTCGTTTTTTGGCCAAGTTATAGCGAAAAAACTGTTCAAAAATGATGACGTCAAATTTTCAAACTCAATTTTTGGCAATTCTAGAACTCGTAGAGCAAAACGAAGACCACCATTAGACTCCCCGTGACGAGCTGCATCGAATCAATAACCATTTTATGCAAAAATATCAACTTTGAAATTTGACCTAATTTGACCTGACCTTGACCTGACCTTCACAAAAACGTGACCTAGGCTGGCCCCAAAGGCTGCCTAACCCACATAATCGCATTTGTCATGTAAAATGGACCATAAAACATGCATCACACGACACATTCATATTGTGACCCCTGTGACCTGACCTCGCTGTGACCTGACCTGGTATCAGTGACCTCAGATAGCAAAGTATGTGTTTGACGAACAATGTACCATCGATGGTTTTCAATAAATTACCAATTTACTCGCTTTCACAGCACATTTCTTGAATTGCCCGTGAACGGTGAAAATCTGACCTTTGACCTGACCTGTGACGTCATCGGTTTGACCTAGGTCAATGAAATTTGGTCACAAGGTAGTTCCCGGGTGGGGCTATCGAAGGCCGTTTGAATTTTGAAAATCGGCCGGTAACTTTCCGAGATCTTAGGGGGGGGCCGATACGGCCCCCCCCCCTACGGGTGGTAGGGTCCGCCGGTAGCCCTACGGGGCGCGGGTTAATACACTGTGGTCATCATGGCTAGGAAGAAAGGATAATCCTTAGCTCTCATAAGTATTACATTTTACAATGCCTTTATTTAGAACACAGGGTTCATATTACAATGCATTTGGCAGTAGCTGATAACTATGTAGCTTTGCAATTTTCCTTGCTGCTGATTCTACTTTCTTAGATGATCTCACGAATGAGTCATAGTTTTGTACATAAACCTCACAAGTGTACGTGTATAGCCTATAGGTATACTTACATAGTTTGATCATTATAAGCATTGTGTTTCATTTTTTTTTATTATTTGTATTTTACCATTTATCATTGTATAGAATTGTATTTTGCTTTTTTCAAAAAGAAAAGCTAAAACCCAAGAGAGAGTACCTAAATTTATCAATCTGTCGGTATCCCAAGCCCGAACGTACTGTTAATCTAAAAAGAGCTGTAAAGAATAACTCTGTATAGTAACAGATGCAATGCTTAAAGCTCATTTTATATAGTTTCCGAATCGCTTAGACATAAGACGCAAAAGTTAAAAAAAAAACTTCAGCTATCTATTGCTCTTCGTGAGGAAAAGTGATGGCACTTACTTCATTTTTTTATAAGAACCAAAATATTTCGCACTAATTTAGACGATTTTTACGCTTCATGAATCTTAACCCTCGCCGGGACAGGCCATTTTGCGTCCTTCGACGGCACAAGGGTACGACCCCCCCCCACCCCCCCCCCCCACCCCCCAGCGTTTGGCCCCTGATCGAGCTAGAGCTTCGCGGAAAAACGAGCGTGTTGCCCGTCACGATAGGAAGCCGATGATACCCAATTTTAAGGTCCTAGGTCATCGGGTGACCTTCCAGGTAAGGTCAATGACCCGAAAACCGGGAAAATCGGGACCTGTTAGAAAGTCGTAAAGTGTGGCTGCTATGTGGTTTTCCGGGGTGCTGATCGCGAATATCGTAGTTAGTTTTGATCAGAGATGATGTCTTTTAGCATTTAGTCAGGTCGGGTCAGGTCAGGTCAGGTCAACCGGTAGGGGTTGAGACGGGTATTCGTAATACGTGTCAACCGCCTCTGACAGCTTCGTAACATGTTACGAAGGCACCAAAACTACTTCGTAAATGTTCAAATGGTTGCTAAATTCGAATTCAGCTCCAAAAACTAGCCAAGAAACATGTAAAACTCGAAAAAGTGAACCGAGGTCACCCGAGGTCACCAAAGGTCAATAACCTAACATGACCTTCAGGTGACCTTGACATCCACCCTAATGTATGGGAGCAGCATCAAGTCACATGTTTGAACGTTTGAAACCACGAAAAGCTTGCAAACGCGCGGCTAATGCGAGCCGACATACGCCGAATCGCGATTCCGGCCAAACATGGTCTCGGAAAAGAGGTCACAGGTCAAAGGTCATTTGGGTCAGGGTCATGAAATTTTCAGGGTAGGTGTAAAATTATCAATGCGAGGGTGCTGAAAGTTTCGTGGCGATCGGCCGCTTCTTACGCGAGTTATTTGCGAAAAACCTTAGGGGAGGTTGCATCAACCCCCCCTGTGCCGGCGAGGGTTAACGTATAATTTGTTGAAGAACAACAAGAGCTTATACATATTCGGCTCTAAAGGACATTGTTTAACAAGGCTAAGCATTCTTCATCCAGTGCTCTCATTGGCTGAAAGCTGTGACAAAATCGATGCTGGCTCTGCGCCAAACAAGTGTTCTACCGCTTGGCTACACGACAACCCACAGTTGCCGTTCGTATTTGGTCGCCCATTTGGTCTCATAAATGCACTGCTGTTGCAAACAGAAGCATAACATAACACTTACCAGGAGCAATTCCCTCGTCCGCTTGCAGAGCCCCTCCACGGGTGCACTTCTCTCTGCTCACAGCTCCACTCGTCTCCTACTGCTCCTCTCTGACCTCAGACCCTCTGCTCCCACTGACCTGATCAGGAGAGGAGGCTGGGCGGTGACCTGGGCCGGCCCAGGGGCATGTCGGCTCCGCTGGCGGTGGAGGAGGAGGTGGTGGTGGCACGAGCACTGCGCGCCGACCGAGAACCAACTGGCCGAGTCTCCCGTCTATCGATCCGGGCCAGAGACGGCGGCGGCGGCGGCGGCAGCTGTAGCCGCGCCGTGACGTCATGCATGGCGGCGGCGGCGGCGGCGGCGGCGGCGAGACGGAGGCAGGCAAAATAAAACGCAAAAATGGTTTTGGTCAAAACACATTTATAACATATCCGTATGATCACTGCCGAATGTCAGCTTATGCAGTTATGGCTGGTGTAGCCAGTAGAAACACTGTAACATACAGATATCTCTTGTATTTCGCCACAAAATCGAGACATATATAGTTTTACATACGAACTTAGTTATCTAGTATTGCACACATGTTGGCGAGAACATCGAATGTAATAAACGAATACATATGGTTTTTAATATACACATAGCCAATGCAATTGTCCAAACAATACAGCAGTTTAAGCGAACGGAACGTTAAAAGAGGGGCGCATAATTTAATCGAAGGCTTTAGCAATTTAGAGACTGGTAAAAGCGACACCTATTAACAACACTGTAACTCGCGGTTCGCAGCATCTAGCGGCGACCGGCAGAAGTACATGGGCCTAGCGGTGACCGGCAGAAGTACATGGCTACATCACTCCCCCGCCCTAGTTAAACACCATAAAAAGATGTGTGGCGGCGAAGACGCGACGAACGACGGAGAGGGGGTGGCGAAGCAGGCGGCGGGTCCGGCGGCACGCGGCGAGCCGGGCGAGAGCCGCCGGGGGCACCTGAGCGGCTGGGTGCAGGCGATGCAGCAGGCGGGCGGTCCACCGAGCTGTCTGTCGCTGTAGTAGGCGTGTCGTTCACCAGGACGTCCGGTGCTGCAGGCGGCGTTGCGGCAGGCATGTTGTCCGTGAAGGCCGGTTTACACCGAGCCAGGGTGACGGTGTCGCGTCGCCCGAGACGGTCGATGGTGACGGTGTGCTGGTCGCGGGATAGGACACGATAAGGACCGTCATAGACGTATTGGAAAGGAGAGCGATGCGAATCGCGTCGGATGAAGACGTGGGAGCAGGTTTGCATGTCTTGAGAGATGAAGATTTGGCGGGAGCCAGGACGAGGAGGAGTTGGACGGAGCTCCGACATGGCGGCACGGAGACGAGAGGCTAGGGAAGCCGGATCAGAAGAAGTGTCCGACGACATGGGGGAGAGGAAGTCACCAGGAAGTCGGAGACTGCAACCATAGACTAGGTCTGCAGCGGTGCATCCGAGATCCTCCTTGAGGGTCGTGCGCACTCCGAGTAGCACCAGAGGAAGTCGGTCCGACCAGGAGACGGCGTCGTCATCGGTCCGCAGAGCTGACTTCAGTTGGCGGTGGAAGCGCTCTACCATCCCGTTTGCTTCTGGGTGGTAGGCGCAGGTCCGGATCCGAGAGGTGCCGAGAAGCTTGGAGACTTCTGTCCAGAGGCGGGACTCGAACTGGGATCCTCTGTCGGTGGTGATGAGTTCGGGTACTCCGAAGCGGGCGATCCAGCCGCTGACGAGATGCCGAGCCACCGTGACGGCGTCCATGGTGGGCAGAGGAATTGCCTCGGGCCATCGGGTGAAGCGGTCGACGACAGTGAGGAGATAGGAGTTGCCCTGGGACGGAGGAAGTGGTCCGACAAGGTCGATGTGGATGTGCAGGAAGCGAGAGTCAGGTGGCTGGAAGCTGCCCATGGGTGGCTTCGTGTGGCGCTGGATCTTGGCACGCTGGCAGTGCTGGCAGCTCCGGACGAAGGCACGGATGTCCGCGTTGATGTGGGGCCAGATGAACCTCGATGAGATGAGATGACGCGTAGCGTTGATGCCAGGATGAGACAAGTCGTGGAAGCTCTTGATGATAGAAGGGCGGAGTCTGGCTGGGACTACAGGTCTAGGTGTGGCCGTTGAGGTGTCGCACCAGAGACGTAGATGCGGATGATCAGGGACTGGGAAGTCACGGATGATCAGAGATGAGGATTGTTGCAGCTTCGGCAGGTCAGGATCGTTGGCTTGGTGTAGGGCGATGTCGGCCAAGCTCAGAAAGCCGGGTGAAGGTGTAGCTGCGGCAGAAGCTGGCACAGACACTGAGCTGATCCGTGAGATGGCGTCAGCTACCGGGTTGAGGTGTCCAGGAACATGTCCGATCTTGCTGGTGTGCTGCAGAATCAGGTCCATGTGACGTTGTTCACGGAGAGAATGGTTGGCGTTGCCGTTGGCCTTGAGAGCAAAGACGAGCGGCTTGTGGTCCGTGAGGATCTCGAAGTCACGTCCTTCCAGATAGGGCAGGAAATGTCGCACGGCGAGGTACATCGCGAGCAATTCCCGTCCAAAGGTGCTGTAGCGGCGTTGGGTGGGCGTGAACTTGCGCGAGAAGAAGGCGAGAGGCTGGAGAGAACCACCAACTCGCTGGTGGAGCACGGCGCCGGCTGCCGTGCTGCTGGCGTCAGTGCTGAGGCTCAGAGCTGCATCTTTGACGGGATGAGCGAGCTGGGTGACGTCAGCGAGGGCGGCTTTGGCTGCAGAGAAGGCGGCGTCTGCCTCTGGGGTCCACGTGACTGAAGAAGCTCGGTCGTCTGAGGCAGTCAGGCCGTGGAGAGGTGCCAGAAGAGCAGCAGCGTGTGGGATGAAGCGGTGATAGAAGTTGATCATCCCCAGGAACTTCTTGAGGCTCTTCTTTGACTCTGGACGGTCGAAGTTCTTGATCGCACTGACTCGATCGTCGAGAGGAGTGATGCCTCCGCTGGAGATCTGGTGGCCGAGGTAGGAGATGCTTTCCATGCCGAAGGCGCACTTCGATGGGTTGAGGAGCACACCGTTGCGGGAAAGACGGCTGAAGACCTCTCGGAGGTGTGTGAGATGTTCCGAGATGCTGCTGCTGGCGATGAGGATGTCGTCTACATAGACGAAGGCGAAGTCCAGGCCACGGAGGATGTGATCCATGAACCTTTGGAAGGTTTGAGCGCAGTTCCGGAGACCGTACGGCAGACGGAGGAACTCGAAGGCGCCGAAGGGCGTTGTGATCGCTGTCTTGGCGATGTCTTCTGGGGCCATCGGTATCTGGTTGAAGGCCCTGACGAGGTCGAGCCGAGAGTAGATCGATGTCCCAGCGAGGCAGGCAGTGAAGTCGTGGAGATGTGGTAGTGGGTACCGGTCAGGCACTGTGATGCGGTTCAGTGCACGGTAATCACCACAGGGTCTCCAATCTCCAGACGACTTGGGCACCATGTGCAGCGGTGATGCATACCGACTGCTGCTGGGTCGGATGACTCCGAGACTGAGGAGGCGTTGGAACTCTGCCTTGGCAGTGGCGAGTCGAGCTGGATCCAGACGGCGTGGGCGGCAGAAGACCGGAGGGCCGGTAGTCTCGATGTGATGTCGGACTGAGTGCTGTGGCTCCGGATGATGTGACGGCTGGGTGAGGCTGGGGAATTCTCGAAGGAGGTTAAGGAATGCTGGGTTGTCGGTTCCGACGACGGCTGTCAGTCCGGTGGATGGCACTGAAGAGTGGGAAGCAGGTGAAGACAGCTCAGTTAGGTGGTCGATGAGACGGCCTCTCTTGGTGTCGACGAGAAGATCATACGAGGAGAGGAAGTCGGCTCCTAGGAGAGGATGGGAGACGTCCGCGATGATGAAGATCCAGTTGAAATCTCTTCTGAGGCCGAGAGAAAGCGTGAGCATGCGCTGACCATAGGTCTGGATGCTGCTGTTGTTGGCTGCTTGCAGATCCAGTCCGTTGGTTCCGCGAGCACGATCGGTGGGTGTCGCTGGAAGAACACTGTACTCGGCTCCAGTGTCGATGAGGAAGGTGATGCCAGTGTTGTTGTCCTTGAGTCTCAGAAGGCCGCTTGCTGGAGGGACGTCAGGGTTGAGCAGGGCAGGTGCAGACGTCTGTGTCACCTGTCCTACTGCTGGTTTCCCGAGGTCTGAGTTGCGGTTGCAGACCACGAGCACGGTGACTGACACGAGCGCGCGTTGGTACCGAACTTGTGGTGGTACCAGCAGTAAGAAGCACCAGCGCCGGTAGATGTGTTGGTTGCAGGGCTGGGTGACCGGGCAGCAGCAGACAGGTCGCGTGGTGGACGGTGGCGAGCGCGGCCGGGGGCACGGGATGCAGACCTCTCTCGGCGGCGCGTCTCGTCCACCAGTGTGGCGACTGATGTTGTGAGGGCCGTGATACCAGTCAGCAGCTGGCTCATCAGGTCTTGGAGGTGGAAGGGTCCTGCAGGAGCAGCAGGTGAGGCTGCAGCAGGCGCAGAAGTCGATACCGCGGCGAGAAGACCTGAGGTAGGTGCAGCGACGTCCGACTGCTGCGGAAGCTCCAGGAGTCGGTCGGCAGTGCTAGCGATGGTCGCAAGGTCCGTCCCAGGCGGCAGGCACTGGAGGAAGGGCTGAGTCCGAGGCGGAAGAGCATTGAGGAAGATTTGGCGGATGAGCGGGGAATCTTGTGAGCCTTCAGCTTCAGCAAGGTCCAGGAGATGCCGAAGGAATTGGGAAGGACGCCTGTCGCCGAGTTGTTGGCCAGAGAGCAGGCAGCGAAGACGCTGTTCGACTGATTTGCCGAACCGCTGACGGATGGCGTCGGAAAGGATGGTGTAAGGTCGGTCTTGAGGAGGGTTGCGGAGGATGTCGGTGAAGTCGCACAGGAGGTGGCCAGGAAGGAGAGTAGCGGCGATCCGGAAGCGGCTGAGCTCATCGTCCACAGCTGCCTGAGAGAAGAAGAGGTCGAGCTGGACGAGCCAGATCACGGGGTCCTCCTCGAAGAAGCGCGGCGGCGCGACGTGGCTGCGTGGCGCAGTCGCCATGCGGAGGTAGTCCGGTTGGGCGGCAGCGGCAGCAGCAGCAGCGGCACCGGAGGCAGCAGCAGCGGCATGCGAGGCGGCGGCGGCGGCTGCACCGGCGCCGGCAGGCTGGGTCTTCTGGTCCATGGTTGCCGAGAGCAATGGTCGGGAAGATCGGTGGCGGCGACGGCGACACGGCGATCGGCAGGTGCTGCGGTGCAGCTGCAGAGGTAGCCGGACGGTGATCAAGGCCTGAAAAGAG